AATACATACAAACAGACAATAGATACATGAAAAAAATGTTCAGCTTCACTAGTCATCTAAAAGATGCAAATTAAAACTACACTGAGATACCACCTAACTCCAGTCAGAACGGCCATCATCAAACAAAAAATAACAGATGCTGGAGAAGATTAGTAAAAAAGAAACGCTTCTACAGTGTTGATGGGAGTGTAAACTGGTACAACCTCTGTGGAAAACAGTGTGGCGATTCCTTAAAGTTCTAAAAATTGACCTTCCATATGACCCTGCAATCCCCCTACTGGGAATATACCCGGAAGAACTCGAATCACTCTATAAAAAAGATACCTTCACACATATGTTTATCGCAGCATTGTTCACAATAGCAAGATCACAGAACCAACCGTGCTGCCCAGCAAAAGAGGACTGGATAAAACAAATATGCAACATATATACAATGGAATATTACACAGCCATGAAAAAGAACAAAATCATGAATTTTGCAGCAACCTGGGTGGACTTAGAGTCTATAATACTGAGTGATCTTTCACAGAAACAAAGAACTGAGTTTCACACGTTTTCACTCATAAGTGGACCCTTAACAACTACCATAATAATATAAGAAGAGGATTGACAGTAGCAAAAAACTGTGGGGGGAGGGGGGACAGAGAGATGGAATTGACAGTAGTGGAAATCTGCCTGTGTAAGGGGAGGCACACCTCATCAACAAGGGTATCTGCACAATGAATATTTTTATACCTAACCCTGAATTGTATCCTACAATTTTAAAATAAAAAAAGTTAAATGTTAAAAAAAAGAAGCTGGGCTCGGTGGCTCAGCCTGTAATCCCACGCCTTTGGGAGGCTGAGGTGAGTGGATTGCCTGAGCCCACGGGTCAAGACCCGCCTGGGCAGCGAGACCTCATCGCTACAATAAATCAAAAATGAGCCGGGTGTGGTAGCGCATGCCTGTAATTCTAGCTACTTGAAAGGCTGAGGCAGAAGGATCGCCGGAGCCCAGCAGGTCGAGGCTGCGGTGGCTGGGAGCGGCCATTGCACTCCAGTCTGGGCGACAGAGTGAGACTCCAACACAAAAAAAAAAAAAAAAGAAAAGAAAATATCAATAAATATATTTTTGGTTCTGACTTACAGAAATGCTAATTAATAAAGCAATGAAACATTATTTTAATTTATCAGATTGATGGAAATTTTAAAATTTTTGAACATGTACAAAAAGACATGTACAAGAATGTTCAACAAAACTATGCATAATTATCAAAAACTAGAAACACTCAAACATCTATCAACAGTAGAATGAATAAGTAAATTGTAACATACTCATCAGCTGAATACTGTAGGAAAAAAGTGAGAAAACTAGAGTCACATGCAAAATAAGTTAGACATGAAAGAATACTATCATATAATTCCATTTATATTAAGTTCAAAAAATGGTCAAAACTAAAATAAGAATATTTAAGGACACACACTTATGTAATGCAACTATAAAGAGCTAGAAGGAAGTGATTAAAATAAAAGTCAGGACAGTGGCTATCTTCCCAGGATCAGGTCACAGGCACAAAGGAGTTTCTAGAGTGCTGAAAGGTTGTTTCTTGACCTAGTGGTGGCGGGTCAAGAAACACGGGTGTTTATATTGTTGGTAAGTCATTAAGCTGTGCATTTCCACTTTGTACACTTTTCTGGATACATGCTTTATTTTTCTATAAAAAGATTTAAAATTTAAAATTGCATGTAAAAAGATGAGTAGGCACGACTATATACACATTTTAAACCTCTTCACAATGAAACTTAGATTAAAAGAAAAGCAACAAAATGAGAAGTGTACTATGCACATTAAGGTTGGAAGAACCGTTTAATATACAAATTACAATAAGGTATTATGGAAATCATAGGAATGTTTCTCTGTACTTCAGATACAAAGTATATTTTAAAAAGAGATGCAAGGAAGAAATATAGGTGGTGGGCAATGCTTTAGAAATTGATAACTAGTATCTAAGAAATGCAATGAAACAATTCTAAATTGTCACTTATGCCTGTTAAATTAAATTGCTCACACCATTAGGATATAGGCAAGGATTTCTCCTTTACTGATGGCACTGAAAATTGAACCATTATTTTAAATAGCTGTCTTATATATTTCAATCAATTTTCTTTCCTCTAAATGTATTTTTAATAATAATAATTTTTTAAATGACACCTTAAATAATTCTTACCTTGCTTGAGAATTTTGGTGATCTATATTTAACAATGATGTAAAATCCTGTATGGCTGCAAGCCAGCTTTTGTTTTCAAAATAAAATAGCCCACGTTTCAATAATGCATCTGTTCTTTTGGGATCATAAAAAATACACTACAGAAATGGGAGAGGTATGTAAACACCACATAATGAAAAAAGTACTAAGGATAGTATATAATCATATAAGTTAAGTGAATTACAATCATGTTCTCAACTTCAGATTACATAAAAGCAAACCACTTTAAGATGCTAAAATTTTCAGATTTGCAGCTAAAGAACATATCTTTAGGAAGTCCATTCATCATCAAATTCTAGAGAGGCAATATTTTCTAAGACAAAAAAACAAGTATACAAGAAGTCAAGGCTTTTCCCACTAAAATTTTTACTGATAATAATTCGTAAGTGAAATGTTCAACTATAGGGGGATTTATTGGATCTATCACAGTATTTTATCCTAAAATTAAAGATACATTGGACTAGATCAAGCCTGGTACAATCAAATCAAATATAGACTAATCTAATCATTCAAATAGAGAAGAGAAATGAACTGATATTGGCATTGTTCATCTATTTTCCATTGAAATGAAAGACAATAGAATGAACAGACTAAATCATTATATACATAGTTATAAAACTTCTTCCCTACTGTAGTGAAAAGAACGGAAGCACAAAGGAAGTTACCAAGTATTTTTAAAACAGAAAAATAAAACAATAACTCTAAAATGTTTGAAATTTGTTTGACCCCAACATGCTACATTAATCTATTTTTAAACTATTTGTACCAGATGAAGGAAATAAACAGAATACATAACCTAATAATTTCAATATCTTCGAAAAGGTTTTTGGATACAATATTCTAGAATAAAATAGACTAGAATATTATCTCTTTGAGCAGAAGAATATCATAGTAGTGGCTAAATCACCACAAACTAAGAAACGGCAGTCAAGAACACGGAAAGTTATGCTATTTAAAGAATTTCTTCTAAATTCTCAGTGGTACTAAGGACTAAGAATTTGGAGTTAAAAGTCAGGAAATCAGAATTACAATTTTGCTACAATCAGGGGGCTATTCCACCTTGACTTTAGACTCAACGTATAGTTCAGCTAAACCTGATTCAAATACTCTGACATCCCCAACCAAATACATATTATTCTTCAACAGTCCTTATTTTCTTCATAGCACTTATTTTAATTTGCAATAATATATATGCACTACATTATACCAAGTTTTAGTAAATAAATATTTGTGAGTGAGTGAATGACTGAATGAAAAAGTAAGAACTGCTTCTTTGAGGGCAAATAGTTTCCCTGCAGAAGAGAATCAACTATTCAAGAGCTAAAAAGTGGAAAACAATTTTCTCTATTGTTTAAAGAGAAAAAACAACTTTCAAAGGCTTCTTTAACCAATGTTTCGTGATTCAAGAGGAGAAAGCTAGAAAAGTTGAACCCCGCTCAGTATTGTCTTAGTGTCCCCACACCCAACTCTGATGTGAATCCATTCATTTAACAATACTGTTTTTAAAATCACTAATGTAGTATTAATATTAAATTCGGTATTTAAAAAACTCTAGCCCCTAGCCTATAATAAATTAATTTTGATTATATAATATATATGAAAATACTTTCAAAAATTTGCTATACTATACTATTAGTGGAAGAATGTCACAATCTAGAACATAAAAATGGCAGCAATATATGTGATAAAGCTTACTTTAGAAAAGTCATCAATGGCCAGCACTTTGTTTGCTATTTCATTCATCTCACCCCTCCGAAAATAGATATCAGCATCTATTGGCTTGCACTTAATTGCCTGGGAATAGTTTAGAATTGCCAGAGTAATTTCTTTTCTTTCCCTGAAAATTTCTGCCTTTGATAAATATGCCTCTAAAGAAGATTAAACAGGAAAAATGTATTATTATAGCTGTTTTATTAACTATGAAAATTTTTAAAGATTAATCTCTCTCCCTCTAAAAATGTAGTCTTAAAATAATTTTTCTCTATCATACCTTCCTAACCACTTAATTTAATTTTTTTATTTCAACAATGCCAAATTTGTCTAAAAGGCTGGATAAATACTCATTTATGGTTCTACAGGTATGTTGTATGTGCTGGGGACACAAAAATGAGTATTACATTTTCACATTCCTAGAAAATTCGATGTCTAGTGGTTCAAGTTGGTTAGATGATAGTACATAGGGCAAAGGCAGAGATTTCATCTAACCAGAAATCCTAGGTACACAACAAATCTAAATCAGAGATTTGTGGTCAAAAAAAAGATTTGTAAATTACTTCTGCACCTAAAAACTTTAAGTTTATATTATTCTTGTAAAAGAGTAGTAGGGAACCGATTTACTGTAATATATATCAAGAACATTAACATTTCAAACCATAATGAGCATTTTGAAAACAATATAAGATTGTATGAGCCCTGAACTTACAATATCTAGAGTAAAAACTTTAATTGAAGGAAGTCATTTTTTCAGAACACATGTACATTGATTTATGTATCTTGATAATATCAATAAATGAAAAAGGCTGAGGTAAAAATATAACTATCTGCACAGACAACCTACCTGCATGATTTTTATTGTATTTAAGTATATAATTCAAGTCATCCAAAGCTTCACTAATTTTGTCTTGGAAAAGATAAATGAAATGTCGATGCCAATAGGCATTGAGAAACAATGGCTCCAAGAATATAGCCTAGAAAGCATGTGCATAGATTTCATTAAGGATGATTTGTTAAAGGAAGATATCCTATCAAATACATTTCTCAAATGCTATTGATCCCAGTGGCTTTGTATGTGTATAGCATAAAATGAAACCTTTCAATCTCTCAAACAAAAATCTAGTGCTTTTTTAATTAAATTATTGAATTCATATTTTAATGATGTTTTCAAGTTATCAAATACATGTTAAGTATCTCAAGATTACTTGAATCCAGTAGATATTATAAATTATGTACTTATATCTGGATGAATATAAAACAACTTGCTAATTAGTATATATTATTATAAACTATTTTATTCCTAAGAATTAAAAAAAAATTTATCTTATAAGCACAGGTGTAGTGAATGAAGAAACTATGACCTAGTTTGGTATATTCATTTTTCCTAATCCCCCAAATCTCCTTACTTATAATTTAGACAATTTAACTCCATTGTAAAGCATGACCTTCAGGACTTTATGACTCAGCATGTACCATTACAAGAAAAGACATAAAAGATTTTAGTGGAGTGTTATGAAAGTATTTTCCCATTTATTTTGCTCAAACTAACTACTTTTTTTGGAAAGATGTATAATAAAAATCAATTTTATGGGTTTTAAAAAGTCTAGTGTTTTTAATATTAATTATTTGAAAATTGTCAGTCATTATATTGTTATAATCTCAAATACTATACCATAAGCATTCATTGTGCAAAATTTCAGTAAAAATCACTGTATAACTAAAAGCAAGTGCAAGTGGTTAATATCGCTATTCTGATTAAGTAAAACTTACTTCCTGCAAATCATTCATGGCACTCTGCAATTTTCCCAGTTTCCTATAAATAGCTCCACGCCTACAATATGCAAATGCAGGATATTTTTTCGTATTATTTATTTCCTCAGTCAAAATCTCCACTTGAGATTCAAAATATTTAACAATCTCCAGTGGAAGCTCAGATTCCAAACAATCACTTAGTTCTAGTTTGGGTGGTTCTTGCAGTTTTTCAGGCAGGTCTTCGAGAAGAGACATTTTATCAACTTTCTTCTCTGGTATGGGCGCGCTCTGGACTTTGTGCTTAGTGCATATTTCAAGAGCCCACGTTCGAGGATCACTGTTTTCTGGAATTCCTCCCTCACTTTGGATAAATGTTTCAAAATTTAAACACGTAGGTAAGCTAGGACACCGTATTTGACGTTCGTATAATGGAACTTTGAGCAAATACTTCTTCTGTTCAGGAAGTATTCCATGAGATGTTGATCTAGTTTATAAAAGAGTCATGTTTTAATTACAGAAATTTAATTATCTTCTTTAATTAATAAATCAACTCAGCCACACACAAAACTACTATTTCTCTGTTATCAAATAAAATTACGTGCTAATTGTATGCAACCCAAGTCCTCCTTTTCATTCAGTAAAATTATAAGACTATATGAAGAATCTCTGTAGAGTTTCTGAAGGCAAAGGAGCATTTTTCAAGAGGTAACCTCCCTAGAGTACTAAAATAATGGGATCAATGCTCCTTTCAGGTTTAATTTACATGCCCCACTACCACCTACCAGAGGGAATTACAATGGAGAATTAAGGAGGTAAGCATGAAAATGCCACCCAAGAAGTTGGAAAGGACATGTATTTGAGGCAGCAGGGAAAAGAAAGGAGTTGAGTACACAGCAGACTACCAAATAAACATCCCAGCTTTACCCTTCTCTGAAAGGTTATCGAATTAAATAATACCTGATAGGCTTTCAAATACTACAAATCTGGGATTTGCCTTCTCAAAGTCTCCATTAGTTTCATTTAGTACCATTTACTATGTGGCTGGTACTGTGCTAACCGCGAGAGACAGGATAAACACACACTACTGGAAGCAAACAAATTAATCTCATCATTTCAGAGCTACTGAGTGTGTACTACAAGAAAGATCTAGTGCTAAACACTAGGAAAATAAAAGTGAGAAACGTTTGTTTCCTTCCCTTTCATTACTGTCTTACACTCTCCATTCCAGTCATATTCTAGTGCCAGCTGCCATCATCTATTCTGCTTAGAGTACTAACTCTTAATTCCCTGCTTCCATTTGTGCCCTAACTCATTCTCTGCATGGCAGACAGCATGTGTCTTTTTCAAACATAAACCAGATCGTGACACTCCCTCCGAGATCTTCCTCTAGTTCCTAGTATGAGAATCAAGTTTCTCACCATGGTCTACAAGGTACCACATGATGAGGCCCCAGTACAGATCTCTGAAAGCACCAGTACTTATACGACCCTTTACTCCCTATTTTCCACATCATCCTTGAGCAAGCCTCAAGGCCATTGCCCTTCTCAGACCTTCTGAAAAGCTGGCTTCTTCTCATGTCATGTTTTGGACCAAATGCCACATTTAAAAGGCCTTCTGTGCCAGGTAGATACATTTTTTCTGTACCTCTACATTAATCTCTTTCTTGCCTTCTGCCTTGGGAGACTGCTGTGCAGACTATAACCCATAAGATCTCTTGTCCTCTGTCTTCTCACAGAGTCTGTCCATTAAAGAGCCCCAACAGAGGGTAGGAGGAGAGTGAAGTCCAGGTGTTTATTCCTCTGGCTCCCTCATGAAGAGTTTCAAACTGGCTGTGATTCTTGACCAAAGATCACTACCGCTTTCCAGAAAACCTTTCTATGCAACACTTCTCTTCCAGGTCCTAGGAATCACTCCCTCTTTTTGTCCCCTCAAACTTAAGGGTAGAAAATGGCTTTACTATTCTTAGCCCCAGGATACTGCATTATCTTTTTTGGTATCCCTATACTCTGATATGTTTGTAAATTGGTCCTTTATCATAACCTCTCAGAATTATCCTAAGCTGAGAGTGCTATCTGCTTACTACAGGAACCTTGACTGAAAAAGTAATTGGTACCAGAGATGGACTCAGGAAACACATATACAAAAAGGATTCCAGGATAACCTCCTTGCCAGAGTAAAACAAAGCATAGGTAATATAAGGTATGTGATGGTACCAAAACTTGTCCAGTTATCATCAGTATTAACAGGAACTATGTCCAGATGGAAGGCAAGGCATTGGGAGATCAAGTAGCTATAAGCCGTTAAGTCACTAGGACAACAACAATGACTATAAAAATTGTGTATTCGGTTGACTACTTCTTTCAGGCCCAAGAGTAGCTTCAGTACCTAATAAATATCTAAACCCTCTAAATCTTGTGTACCAAGGCAATGAAGCTACTAGGAATGAAATAAGAAATTATAATATGAACTATGAACATGCTAGCAGATGGGGAAAATTTGAGGGGAGAATTTGAATTTCCAAACTCCACTTATCTTACCTTGACAGAGGAGATGGGCTGGAGGATTGTCAGATCCCCCATCTGAGACACTCAGTCCTCTCCTGTATGAATATCTTTCAATGAGCACACGGTGACATTGCCTCACATGCTGTATGTAATGAGCCTGATGTAAGCACTCCCCCAAGTCACTCAGCTGTAACTCCTGAACTCTCTCATGGAGCCACAACCATTACAGAACCTGAGCCATCCACATACCTCCTCCACAGAGTTGGCCTTGGATCCGTGGCTGCTGGTTCTATCCTGCATGGCCTTGGATGGAACACCCTGGAATACTCTAAGTGAAGGGTTCTCAAACTTCAGCATTTGTCAGAGTCACCTGAAGGCATGTTAAAATATAGATTTGGGGCCCCACTCCTGGAGTCTCTAATTCAGTAGACCTAGGGTAGAGTTCCAGAATTTATACTTATAGCAGGTTCCCAGGTAACACTGATGCAGGGATTATACTTTGTGAGCCACTGCTATGGAGGGATGAAGGTTGTGGAAGATGGGAGTTTGTCGGCAATATGGAACACACTTATTTAAGCCCTAACACCTGGGGAGGAAAAAAAACAAACAAAATGCATAGGTGAGAGGGCACAATACCTTTGAAAAGCTTTGTGGATGCTGACCTCAAAGTTGGAAAAGAATGACAGTAGGGGAACAGAAGCAAAGGAACTGTGAAGTTGCAAAGTTGTTGCAGACTCATGGCATCCTGCTATGTCCTAGCTAAAGAGGGAAGCCACAAGGGTAACTTATAAAAATGGAACTGAAGGGAAATGCATAAGTCTGGGTCAGTCAACTCCAATAGCCTTTGGCAGGAGTGGCTTTCCACAGTCAAGATTTGACTTGACATATGAGAACATATGATTCCAACCATCAAGGAAGTCAGCCAAGAATGGGTGTGATTAAACAAGTTTAAAGGTTGGATATAAAATGGTAATAAGGATATTTCTGAATTACCAAGTTAAGATTAGTGAAAACGTCTCAAGCTACAAGAATAAAATTATTTTTAACGTTGCCCCATAAGCTTATTTAGAACTAACAATTATTTTGTATCTACATTTATGTTTTAAACTAATTTTTTTAAAGAAGGAAAGAAAGCTGTACTAATGTATTGTTTTCGATAAATATTTCCATGGTTTGTTTTACTGCTTCCACCAAAAAGTTCATCCTATGGCCCTTGTTATGCCATCATATGCAAATTTTAAGTTCAGTTATTAAAAGGCAAAAAATGGGTCAGTAAGCAGTACCACTTCCCACAAGAAGCAGCATTTTATCAGTTTATATCCTTTATTTAGATAGAAATCATTTAGGTCATGATCAAAATGGTACTGTGTGTATTATCCTTTCTAGAGTGGTGAAGATCCACAGTACTTTTAAATCATTCAATGTATCAAAAAAGTAGATGCAAACTTCTGGTTCTGATCTAAAATACTTGTCAACTTAGAAAAACCTACCTGAAGTGTTCTGAAGATAATCTAACAAAAAGCTTCCAGGTATTATATTTGTTGCAGGAGAAACGTAAGCACAAGTAATATACAGTGAACTCGGGATGTGAATGGCATTCTCCACTAGAGTTGTTCCACCCTTTCACTCCCAATTATAAAATGTTATTCCTCAGTCTACTCAGGGATAACATGTTACCATACCAAGAGACAATTAACCTTTTTGTAGACATCAAGTCTTTATAAAAATAAAACAAACATTTTTTATTCCTTTATCACCAGGAAAGTCTTTACTTTTACAAAACACTTAAGTTTAATAAACTTTGCGTCATCTGAGGACATTTAAAGAGAAATAAATCTCAGAGCTATTTGGAAACTATTTTGCACAATACTTTGGGTATAAGAAAATCATGTTCTGCCGTTAATCATGAACATACCTGCCATTTTGGTTATCATTTCAGGTCCCTCCATATTTTTTAAATATGCTAGCTACTGTTACTTCCAAGTTAGGAGTACAATCAATTATTTCTGTGTGTCAATCCCTGAATAAGAGCTCACAAATACAAAAAAAAAAAAATTTGTCCCTCTAGATTTATTACTCAATTCAATAATTTAAAAATTTGAAAATAATCAAATGTCAGCAATCTATTTTGACTTTTGAATGGGTGGTATGTGTTTGGAGCAGGGATATATACATATATATGTGGTGTGTGTGTGTGTATATATATATATATATATATATATGTATACTCACACATATATACACACACACATATATATACATATACATACACACACACACACACACACACACACACACACACACACATATATTTGGAGCTAAATCATTTGTTAAAACTTGAAAAATTTGGTCAGGCTTGGTGGCTCAGACTGTAATACCAGCACTTTGGGAGGCTAAGGCGAGAGGATTGCCTGAGCCCACGGGTTCAAGACCAGCCTAGGCAACTTGGCAAGACCTCATCTCTACAATAAATCAAAAATTAGCCAGGCATGATAGTACACACCTGTAGTTCCAACTACTTGGAAGACTGAGGTGGAAGGGTCATTAGAGCCCAGCGGGTCGATGCTGGGGTGACCATGAGCATACCACTGCACTCCAGCCTGAGTGACAGAGTGAGACTCCAATTAAAAAAAAAAAAAAAAAAACTTGAAAAATGTTTTTCTTTTCGCTGGAAGATTTCCTTTAGCCCTCAAACTGATTTAGTCTTACTTCATGCCCCTCTTTACATTATAATTTGAACCATTTACATATTTATACTGTGAAATCTCTATATTTTTTTAATGAGTTCAGCGCATTTTCAATGCTGAATAGTAACTTCACTGGGTGAGATTATTAACTTAAGGCCAAAACCACAACATGTTTCTTAAACTATTAAAAAAATACATCACTTAAGCAAGACCTTTTAAGAGATTTTGGAGGCTTGGATAGCTCATTATACACTTCTGCAAGTTTTTGTTGTTTCAATCTTTTCTTCCATTTCATCGTCTTTCCCTTGGGATAAACAATGTAACTAATGCCAGCTTTTCTAGATGCTTCAATGAGAGAGAAAGACAGATCTTTCAAACTGTGTTTTTCATGAATGTTATCAAAGATGACTTCTATATTTTTTTTCTCATAGATGAACTCCTCAGTTTTATTTTGCTTAGCAAGTTGGCGCTTCAACTCCCTTGCTTTCTGGAACATAACTTCTTTTATACTGTTTTGCATGTCATCCTTGATTTCCAAAGGGACTATAGTCTCCTTCTTCCTCAATTCAACTAAAGATTTTACTTTCTTAATAAGGAAGCAAAGAGGTTAAAAAAAAAAAAGAAAGAAAACATAAAATCAATTTAGTTGCTATCTATTTAGAATGAATTCTGTTACAATTATTATTCATGTAGTTTGGTCAATTAATTTTAATTTAAAAATCATGTATTCTAAAGATTATTCAAAGATCAGATTATAACATTTAAAATGGGTTAATTAAGCAAAGTACAATAATTTGGTTGGTCATATGACATTTCATTAGGTACATATAAACAACACTATAAAACAGATATGCATCGATTATCATTTTATGTTTTTTGGGGGTTTTTTGTTTTTTTGGTTTTTTTGCATTGGAGTCTCACTCTGTCACCCAGACTGGAGTGCAGTGGCCACTCCCAGCCACCACAGCCTTGACCTGCTGGGCTCCGGTGATCTTTCTGCCTCAGCCTTCCAAGTAGCTGGAACTACAGGAGTGCGCTATCACGCCTGGCTAATTTTTGATTTATTGTAGAGATGAGGTCTCGCCAAGTTGCCCAGACGGGTCTCGAACATGCGGGCTCAGGCAATCCACTCACCTCAGCCTCCCAAGGCATGGGATTACAGGCTGAGCCACCGAGCCCGGCTAATTTTATGTATTTTTAATTGAAAGAGAATGCTCTCTACATATCCAAATAAAGCATATGCTCTACTTTTCCATATATTGCAAACAAATTGATAGAATGATCAAAAACTACTAAAATGCCTTATTCTATAATAATATAACAAATTTGAGTCTATTTACAGAAGCACTTTCACAATATTGAATTTCTAGATAATGCTATTTAAATATTTTCTACAATAACTTCCAATCAGTAAAATCCAATTCCAATTCTCCCAGCCTATTGCGAATTTATTTTATCTAATCATTAGAGAATCAACTTAATTTATACTCTTATTTAATATTATAACATTAATACTTATAATTTCAATAATTATACATTAATACTTGAAACTCTCATAATAGACACTACCTATAAAAGATCATTACTTCCAATCCTTTGATATACCATTCCCTGCCTATTGTGCCATTACAATTTCATACAAGTTAGTTATGTACTTTAAGATATATTAAAGTACAAGAGACATTAACCCTCTGTGACTTACTATAGTCCCCCATCTCAGGAAACTAAATATCATGCAATATGTAACTAGACACATAATATAGAATATATGTGCATTACAAAAAGAAGGCGACTGTTATTGCTAGACATATAAATGCTTCATTTAGATAGTAAAATCTGAAAAATTATAATACCTTTAGTTGTGGAAGTTGTACATTGAAACATTTTTTGATATTTTCATATGATGCAGATTTTCTTAGTAAGAATGACTGTAAAATAATCAAATGAGAAATATACATTAACCATAGATATTATTTGGTAAACTAAAATACATGCAACGGTGGCTAATAACTATTTAGGTAAATTTATAAAACTCAGAAATACAGACTTTTACTAATTTTGAAGTCACAATAGAGAAAGTTATGGGTAATTTAGAAATTACTGTCATTAAATTTCTGGTAAAAATTCTCTCATGTTATATTGTTTTGGAAAGAAGTATTAGGGGCCATTGTCTTGCTAAGCTATGGTATGACCATGTGCTTTTTGAGCTATGGCCAGGCCATGTTTTCCCAAGCTCCGGTCCCCTCTCCTTCCTTAGAGAGGTGAATCTCCTCTCTCTCTCTCATTAACTTTGTAAATAAACTATATTTTCTAATCTAAAAAGAAAGAAAGAAAATAGCAATAGTACAATATAAGGTCAAAGCATTACTGTAGAGAAGTAGATTTTTAAAATCTATCAGTTAATTTAGAAAACCATATAATATCTTATTTTTTTAATTCAACTTGACATAACAAACACTAAATATCTGCCATGTGCAAGGTGGTATAGAGAGCCAAGCTACCCAGCTGGTTTCAGTGGCACCCGTGTGTGTGAACGGACAACAGAAATGCTGAGCCATGAATCTGCTTCACCGTGCCCCTGGACAATCATCTCTAATCATGAGCTATCTCAACCTGTTACTCTAGAGAACCATAGAAATATTACCAGTTACTATAATATCACTCAGACTGTTGTTAGTATACTAAAAAATTGGAAAGTACTACTATACTAGAGCAGAAAGTACAAAGAAAATGATGTGTTCCATTACCTCAAATATTCTTGTGGTCCAAACAGCTATAAATATCTATGGTCAAAATGACTGTGGCAATGACCGTACAGATGGCATGAATCAGATGCAAAGAGAATGCAGGAGAGGGAGGGGTCAACCTAGAAAGGGGAGGAACTTGGAGAGACCAACTTAAAGAGGAGGCATCAGACCTGGTGTGTGATTAGCAGCAGCATAGTCATAGACTGAGGAGGGATTGAGAACATCCCAGGCCAAGGCAATAGTCTAAACTAGCACAGAAAAGTGTCAAAGTGCCAGCAATTTTAGTCCACAGTGACTCTGGTGCAGGCAGAGTACAGGGTAGATGGAGGTTACTTAGACGTAGAAGTAATAATGGAGGCAACATAAAATATAGAGTTTGAGGCTAGGTTATGAGGCTTAGTTAAGCACTCTGACTTTATTTGGTAAATGGAGTTGATAAATCCACTAAGACACGAGTGACAAAATCATACCTGTGTTTTATGCATACAGCAAGATGGACTGCAAAGAGCGGTTACTAAAAATGGTACTATCTGACAGGTAGGTTAAGTAATGCTACTACATTAGTCTAGAAAGTGCAACCATCATCCAGATCAGAAAAGTGTCATTTGATCTAATTATTTTTAAGCAAAATTCGCTGCTCTAGATGCTGCAGATAAAAACAGTGAATACAAATGATATGACCCCAGGCTGGTAAGAAATAAAAAGACCAAATGCACAAAAGGACACATATTTGATAAATGCCATAAAGAAAGTAATAAAAGATGACCCATATTAGAAACATTGCGCGCGCACACACACACACACACACAAATGTATTCTGACTGATGGGGGATGATGGGGCAATGGAAGAGGCATGGAAACATATTTAACCTAGCTAACTGACTACAATCGGGGTTTGATTTGCCCCAGAGCACTAAGACTCTCCACGACGTGGCACATGGCACCCCGAGATATCACCAAGGGTGGTGGAGGACTGAGAGCACTAATGAGAGAGAGAGAAAAAAAAATGTTCTGTTTGTCCTCCAAAAAGGTTAGGTCATTATTAACCAATTTTACAAATTTTGTGCCTCTCTTCTTCCCTCAATCACAGTCTTTTCTCTCCAATTATGTTTATTACTTGATAAGTTTACTTGGATATACTGTAGTGATACTACAGTCATAAGTAGCATCTAATGACCATTTAGTGCAGTTTTCCTCCACTTCATGGCCATAAACAGCTTCCCCATTTGGTCAAAAGATTCATAAATATGTGGGGTTTTTTTAAACCATTTAAGACCTAAGAATGAGCAAAAAAACTGGAAATCTTAGAAAAACTCACAGTAGATACCCTGCTATTGATTAATAAATAACATCTTCTAAGTGTCAAAATAAAGCATACTATTTGAGAAAGAAAATATGCCCTCAGCAAAGATACAACAGAATGGTCTGAGTCATTTCCCAGAATGAAGATGTACCAAGAAATAATTTCTACGCCAGGCTCGGTGGCTCAGCCTGTAATCCCAGCACTTTGGGAGGCTGAGGTGAGTGAATTGCCTGAGCCCATGGGTTCGAGACCCGCCTGGGCAACTTGACGAGACCTCATCTCTACAACAAATCAAAAATTAGCCAGGCATGGTAGCGCGCACCTGTAGTTTCAGCTACTCGGAAGGCTGAGGTGGAAGGATCACCGGAGCCCAGCAGGTCGAGGCTGCGGTGGCCAGGAGCGGCCACTGCACTCCAGTCTGGGTGACAGAGTGAGACTCCAACTCAAAACAAAAAACAAAAAAAGAAAGAATTTCTGAATGGGGCTGGTGGGGTGGTCAATGAGAGATAATTTAAGGAGTACGATATACATTATTTGAGTGATGAATACCCTAAAAGCCCTGACTTCACTACTATGCATGTAACAAAATTAATGCTTAAAATTTTTAACAAAATTACACTTACACCTCCTAAATTTATACAAATTAAAAAACAATAACAATAAAAATTTTTTTCCAAAAGGAAAAAAGAAATCATTTCTGGAATTACTAGAAATAATTTCTTAACTATAGGCAGATAGTAACCAACCCACAAATAAGAACAAAAACTATACATACCTTCAAATTTGTTCTACTAAAATGATCTGAAATAATGACATTTTCCTTGCTTTCAGATACAAATTTCTCAGTTAAAAGTCTGCTTCCTTGAACACTCTGTACAAAAAAAAAGATACCAATTTTAAACTATATTTTGAATACTTTTTAAATGTTGTAATTACTGTTACTTCATAGTACAAAATTATTACCAGAGGAGAAAACATAAAAGGAATATAACTCTAGAAAACACTTACCAGAGATGTACCAAAGTTCACCTATAGCCTTAGTATTTGACCAAAATCTGCAATGTGGCTTCAGTATTGGCCTTTAGCCAAAAGGGTATTTCTACATCATTTCTGACATCCTAGTATTAGGAGTGATCAATGATCCTGTGCTCTCATAGATTAACGTTAAATTTATTTAGTATAACATCAGGATTACAAACAAGATATATTACCTAAGTTTCTTGTCTATACATGACTATTCATTTTTAAAGACAAGCAAGCATTCTAAAGGTGAACTGAAATGACAATTTCTTTAAATGCTTTATACTTTGAATTCTATTCATTAAGTTATATGTGAATATGTATTGTGTATGATATAAGCATGTATGAATATGTATTGAATATGATATAAGAGCAAACTGCTACAATATTATAGTTGCTATCACATGTGTACTACTTCTCTGTCTGGTAATCAGTGGTTTGGATATGCAGAAACAACTAGAAGACCTAAATTTGTCAGCTATCTGAAATCATGATTAATTAAATCATGCCACTGCTTCATTTGTTTGCTGAAATTGTTAGGTTTCAGACAACTATCATTGCAAATTTCCAAAAGATTTACTGAATAAAAAAATCAGATTTTAAAAGTATCATATAATTGCCACTGACAATAGACAAGTCTATGGGTAATTTAGGAATCACCAACATTGAATTTTTGCTAAAAATCCTCTCTTATGTTATATTTTTTAGAAAGTAGAAATAGTACAACATAAGGTAAGAAAATAACTGTACACGGTAGGAAGATACTTGGTCAATTTCATCATTATTCTTCAAAGTCAAACTACATGACATACAAAAGATATTGGAATCACTTTGCCATAAGGTCACAACAAGATGATAAACTGTGATGAAATAGCAGCTAGTACATATTTAAAAGAATATTTTTAACAACAACAAGGATAAAAACCTTATTGCCATATTTTCTAGATAGCAAAACAATAGAATTTGTTAACAATCAGTTGTTTATTTAAAAAAAGAACATGACTCATATGTTGAAACCTTGGAAATTGCCAAAACATTGACTACACTAATGTGCCTTGGGAGGGCAATTACAGTGTTGCTTACATGATAGCCAATGAAAAACATCCTCCTACTCTTATTTCAGGGATATTGCTGAAATTGGTATGCATACAACAAAAATTGAGATATAAACAGAATTAAACTTTAAAACTCAATTATGACTTCTATCTCTAATTGTGGCATGGTGGATCATTCTGCAGAGGGCAACTAGGAAGGCTACATGTAATATAAAAAACATGATGTTCAAAGCACCAAACAGCTAACAAGATGAAACAGTAATAAGTATTCAAAGATGCTTTCCTTTTCAGAATGCTTGCTAAAACAGTTGCAAATCTGAGCTGCAGATTTGGCAACTTCTTGGGACAAGGATAACCAAAATCAAAGTCCAGAATCTATCTGAGGTATGAAGCATGATGATACATCCCAATTATATATAAACTGGGATACCACAGGACTACAGAGAGTGAAAGGAAGTAAATTAACATTTATATGGACTTTCAGCCTGAGCTTTGTCACATGGATAGCCAGAGAAACTCAAACCTCAACCTTAGATTAAGCCTGTCTCTGAGTGGTAAAGATCCCAGGTCCTGATAAAATTTTTCTTTAGAGTAAGAAACTGCCATTCTAAGTCTCAAATGTTTCCTAAAAATAATATTTTAAATACAATGATAAACATTCAAAGACAGATGAGTACACAAAGAAAAAAAAAACACCAGAACATAACAGACTTAGGGAAAAGTGGAAATTCTAAAAAGAAAAATACAAAACCAAATCTTAAAATATAGTGAGCAAGTTTAACAGTATACCAGATACAACAAAAGAGAGAATTTCTGAACCTGAACTATTAAGGTAGATCAGAAGAAACTGTCCAGAATCCAGTATCAAGAGAAAAAATGTTGCTAATATATGTGCTTAAAGTCCCAGAATATGAAAGAGAGAATAGACAGAAGTAATTCTTGAAGAGATAATGACTACAAATTTTCCATAGCTAATGAAAGACATCAAACCACAAATTCAAGTAATTCCAAAGTCTGAAAAATAAAACTAAATCTATACCTAGACACACCATAGTTAGACTATAGGAAATAAAAATGAAAATCTTAAAAATAGCCAGGTTTGGGGGACGCAGAAAATTTATTATTTTCAAAGGATTCACACTTAAGACTTACTTCTCAATAGCAATAATGGATGTCAGGAAATAATGGAACATCACTAGTGGGCTAAAAGAAAATATTTGTCAATATATATATAATAGCCAGCTAAAATATCCCTCAAGAATGAAGTAATACAAAGACATTTTGAATCTAAGAAAAACAAAGGTTTTAACCAATTGCAGATATCCCATTCACCCCTTAAAGTAATTTCTGTAGGATATTCTTTAGGCAGAGGGTAAAGTGATTCCAGATAGAAATGTCTAAGATGCTAGAAAAAAAGAAAAGCAAAAACAGAGATAAATACGTGGGTAAAATTTAAGGAATATTGTATAAAATGATAATAATTTCTTTGGGATTTTAAAAGTTAAATAAGAGCATATTAAGTCAAGAGGTAAATGAAATTAAAAGGTTCTAAAGTCACTGTATTTCTCTGTATGAGTATAAAGGTATTAAAGTATATTAGATATTGCTAAGTTAAAAATACATATTCTAGGACAACTACAGCAGGAATAAGAAACAATGTACAGTTGACCCTCAAACAACATGAGTTTGAACTGTGTGGCTCCACTTATATGCACATTTTCTTCCACCTCTGCCACTCCTGAGACAGCAAGACCAATCACTCCTCTTGTTTCGTCATCTCAGCCTACTCAACATGAAGATGACAAGGATGAAGACTTTTAATTATCCACTTCAAATTAATAGTAGACATATTTTCTCTTCCTTATGATTTTCTTAATACCATTTTTCTAGCTTACTATATTGCAAGAAAACAGTATATAATATATATAATATACTAAATATGTGTCAATTGATGGTTTATGTTATCAGTAAGGCTTCCAGTAAACAGTAGGCTATTAGTAATTAAGTTTTTAGGTAGTTGAAAGTTATATATGGGTTTTCAACTGTGTAGCAGGTCAAAGCCCCAACCACCTCATTGTTCAAGGGATAATTGTGTACAGGTTCCAAAACAGAAGTGATAAAAAACAGCACAGCCAAATAATTAACAAGAAAACAAGAAAAAGAAAATAAGCATATAGCAGGTAAGAAAAATAAAGAGAAGAAAATAAAAAGTAGACATAAATTTAAAATCTATCCAATTAAAAAACCAAAAAATGCCCAAATATACATATTTGTTTTAATATAACCACGTGTTGTTTATAAAAGACAAATCTAAAGCATAAGAATCCAGAAATGTTAAGTGTCAGGGAACAAATATTAAATAAAGGAAAATTGGCATTAATAACAAACAAAGACTCTAGAGTAAAAATGTTTATTAAAATAAAGTAAGGAGAAGTAGAAAGATGGCAGCAGAGCCAGTCAGACTATGTGAGTCCCTGTGTGAGTGAGGGAGCATATGGACAATTTTGCAAACATGTCTGTGAGTGAGTGGGAGTGTGAGTGGCTGACTGAGTGGGGACTTGGGAGCAAGTGACCAGAACTCTCCTGGTGAAGTGGCTGGTGCCACAGCTGTTCTCTTGGACCTTAGCACTTCGCAGGACACAGAAGCCAAGCACCATTTTTAAAAATGAACAAAACCCTTCTCAGGAAGAAATTGTCTCTCTTATCCTCATGATCATGGTTTCTCCCCTGCCAGGACGGATTTAGAGTCAATCATATTCAGTTATCTATCACAGAAACAAAGAACAGAGTACCATATGTTCTCACTCATAAGTGGACCTTGAACAATTATAATACTATAAGAAAGGTATTGGCAGTAGTGAGAAACTGTCAGGGTAGGGGTGGGATTGGCAGTTGAAGGAAACTGTTAGGGGATGGAGGGGCATACCTCCTCAACAAGGGTCCCTGCATAATCAATGTTTGTATACCTAACCCTGAATTGTACCCCACATCTTTATTCATTTATTTTTTTATAATCAATATTTTTTATTATGATATTTTGGGGTACAGTTAAGGGTTAGGTATACAAAT